CAGGAGGGTGTCTGGGCCGGGGGCGTCTGCCCTTCGGCGCCTCGGCCTTGACCGGCTCGTGGTGCAGCTGCGTGAAGATGTCGTCCAGCAGCCGGAGAAAGACCACCGTTTCCTCAGACGCCACCAGCCGCTCGTTGTTCAGTTCGGTTTGGACATAGCCGAGGATGGTGCTGATGGCTTCCTCGATGTAGCCCACCAGCGAGGACTGGGCAAAGATGCTGGAGATCAAACTCTGTATTTCCTCCTTCACCAGGAAGTTGGCCCCGTTGGGCTCGGGGCCCCCTTTCTTGGCGTCGGCTCTCTGCAGGGATGTGCCCACGGGGCCGGGCATGCGCTGCTGAGAGGGGGGCTTCGCCATGGACGCCAGGTGGGGAGGCTCGTCCTGCTTACCCGACGCCAGAGCCATCAGCTTCTGCAGGATGGCCTGCACCATGTCCTCGGCCACGTCGCACATGGGCTCCCCGGGGTGCGGCAGGGAGGCCGACGGGGGTCTCCCGCTCGGCGGGAGGGGGCCTTCTCCGATGGGCAGGAAGCTGGGCATCATGTCAACCGGCCAATCTTCCTGCGAAAACATCTCCACGCACCTTTTCTCGACGGCGGACTGGAGCGTCTCGAGCATGTTTTCCACGATCTCGGAAGCCACGGAGCTGATGTCCACGTTGGAGAGAACGTCTAGTTCGGGCTCACTCGGTTCAACGAAAACCTCGGCGGTGACGGAAGAAATGGCGGGAACGGCCTGCGTTAGGTCGGACATGATTTCCTGGAAGATGCTCTCTAAAATCAGCTCCGTTTCCCCTTTCAGGTGGCATTTAAAGTTCACAAAGATCTTCTCCAAGTTCTTGATTTCAGCTTTGGCTTTTCGCTTCGGAAGCAGTGGGCCCTCCAGGCCGTCCGTCTCCGTGGTGGCATCCTTGGACTTCTGGGCGCCTCCCTCAAAAAAGGCCAGGAGGTGGCTGTCAGACTTGCAGCTTCTGAGCTTGGGGTGGGCATAGACCCCGGTGGCCGTCTTATACGTGAGGGTCGTGGTCACGGGTGGGCCGTCCGTGCTGTAGGTCTTCTCGACCACCGTTCTCTCCACGTGGGCAGAAGGCGGGCCTTCCTCGTGGTAGGTCTTCTCGACCACCGTCCGCTCTATGTGGGCGGAAGGGGGGCCTTCCGTGTGGTAGGTCTTCTCGACCACCGTCCGCTCCACGTGGGCAGAGAGCGGCTCCAGCGGCGTGGGCGGGTGCCGGACCGCGATATCCACGGCGAAGGCACGGGGCTCCCCGGGGAAGGTCTTGGTGGTGGCCGTCGTGTAGCTGCCATAGGCGAAGCCCTCGCTGCAGGTGCTGCAGAAGCTGGAGCTCTCCGAAGACAGGGAGGACTCCGCGCCCCTGGAGTACGCCTGGCTTTGCAGCCTCTCCTCGTACCTGGTGATGGCTGGGTACAGGATGCTGGTCACTGTGGCCACCACCCAGGCCATTATGTTCTGAAGTATACTGTTCAGCTCGTCAGAAGTCACCTGGGAGGGAGCAGGCAGGAAGGAAAGGAAAATCATGGAGCCACCCTCTCTCTTCTGGGAGAGAGGGTAGCGTTTACCTGTTTTTATAACAAGCCCTGCATCGCTGCATGTCATCGTGGTCATAAAGAGAATAGGTACAGAATCTATTGAGACCTTCTGATTAATTTCAAGTTGGTTTCATCTGTTCTACCATAAAATATTTTTATAGATGTTTCCATTTGATTCACATTTCTGCTGAATTCTCCCTGACCCCAACATTTTATTTTGCTGGGATAGATGACTTTTTGATTAAAAAGAAAGGAAGAAAGAAAGAAAGTCACCAAATTGCTCTCTAGAATCCTAACATGCAAGTATTTCAGCAAGAAGCATCATCATGTCTATGACCCAGCAGATTTCTAAAAAGACACCAGATTATTTCTAACAAAGTATTTTCAAAACTGATGTTGTCAAAACACGTGGGTGCCTGTAGAAGCACCTGCCTAGCTAACATGTGAGGATGGGAGACATTTTGTCTCTCTGCCCCATTCCTTGATGCAGGGATGAGCCTGTGATCTGTGAGTGATGACAGCTCGTTGTCAAGGGTTATTTGGTAGAAAACCTAGAGTTAATGCTTTGTGGAGATTGAATGCCTTTGTACCCAACAAGAGAGTATCAGTGCAGTGTGTCTTGGGTAGGAAGGCTGAGAAAAGATGATGCAATGGAGGCACCATTAGCTTAGAAAACAAGGGCCGAGCTAGAACTGGGTCTTTAAGAGGCAGGAGGGCTGAGCCAGGGTCGGGAGTTGGAGAACTTCTCCCTTTGAGCTGGACATATAAACCAAAGGATGGCCATTTCCTCAGAGGTCAGGACCAAGAGTAGAAGCAGAACACTCTACGTACCTCTGATGACTGAGAATCTCCTTTGGGCTTTTGCAAAATCTCGATTTGTTGCCTGTCGTAAGCTAGTAGACTGTTTTTAAATTGTTATTACTTTTAAGACATAAAGGCTGCAAACAGGAATTGGCAGCAGAGCATGCAAGGCTTTGCATAGGTACAAGGTGAACAACAGGATTCTTGTCATGAGGCTGTTCACATCCCCAACATTGCCTGACGTTAGCGTGGCATTCTCCACGTTTCAGGCCAACATTCAACGAAAAGGTAACACGTACGTAGCATACTCTCTCCTGATGCATTTGAGAGTGTTTGGAGGCACCCCAGGGACAGCCATTTTTTTCCTGCTCTAATCATTTTAATTTCCTAGAGATAACTTTTTCACTGATTGTACAACATCTGTTGGATGACAGCATATGTTGCCTAATACTTGTCTCATATAATCGTATCCTAAATCAACTACATTAAGAATAAAATCTAAATTTTCACAGAGGAAGTAATTGTCCTAATCCACTAACACATACAAACTAAGACATTCAATAAACGAGTATATTGTGTTTCTTATAATCAGAGGTAATAGGCCACAGATCTGCAGTGTCATTCTTTGGCTAGGTGGGAGGAAGTGTTTCCAACCTTGAGATGCGAAAAAGAGATATTTCTAAAGTTTTCTATGTAGTGAACTATGGAAAATAGAATCTAGTTTTCAGTTGCATTCTATCCCATTATGATATTAAACTGAGAAATATTCCCTGGAATCAAAGCTTTTGTATTTGCTCCACTTACTGTGAACTGAGCAGGTGTCCATGCGGTAAAAGCATGCCAGAGTACGTGTTGTCCTCCAACCCCTTGTTCTTTCCTACCTGGTTGTGACTTATAAACCTACCCTCCTATCTGTCTGCTGCACGTCTCAGTTGATGGGTGACCAGGTGCCTTTTTATGTGACTTTCATGGGTGACGAGCCCTCTTCCTATGAAAATGGCGAGGGACAGACCCAGGCTTCCCAGCCTGTCAGTCAAGTCTGTACTAATGGTTTCCCATGGGAGGGTGGGTGTGTGTGTCTGATGATGTCCTTATAATGGGCAGGTCCCTTAACGCCCCTGTCCCTTCTATCCCCATGAGACCCCTTCCTGCAAGGCCAGCATCCCCTTTGGTAAGAACTCTAGACCCCTACAAAATCCAAGAATTAACCAAAAGGAAACATTAAAGAAGAAAATAAGGGCAAAGAGAGAGACTGATAGCCAGAGAGGATTACTCATTATTTGGTTCACAGCTCTTTTCCTATTATGACACGGTAGAAAGTATTATTAATATGCTACTTTATCAATGGATTTTATGATACGTACTTTTTTTTGTAGGTAATTCTGTTGCCTGTAAAGTCAAGAAAGGGGATCATTGAGTTATTACTTAAGGCCAAAAATCTATGGAAACTTTTCTCAAATTTCTGATCATTTCTGACCAGTGTCTCCCCTTTATATCTGAGAGTTTTTCTACAGAAACTCAAAAGGAAGAATAAACTTTACTTTTGTCAACCCACCTCCAAGACCCACCCATTTCTCCTCCTCCTCCTGTACTGACCCACATGCTTTATTACTCAGAGGAGTGATAGAACATACCTGTATAAACTGCATAAAACACACATCTGCCTGAAAATCCCACAGGGAGAGTGTGGGGCCGCGGAGAGGAGAGGCAGGTGGGGAAGGAAGAACATCCCCCTTTGTCTACTTCAGCATTTGAGCTTAGTGCTGAGCGGGACCCAAAGACGGAACCCTTCACTACATCCTGGTGGCACACCACCGTTCACTGTGGACTAGGACTTGTGTAATTATGAAAATGTTAATTTACAATGACACATGAATGTCCTTAGATACTTACATGTTTGAGAAAAATTGTGGAGGGAAAGTATTTGGGACTGGGTCAGGATCCTGTAGTCCTGTTTATCAGAAAAAGAAAAATTATAGTCGGTCCCCTTCCCTAGCAACTTATACAACTGCCATTCCTCCCCTGCAGTGGGTGCCTATTCTCTGTTGTCCCCGCCTAGTTTTAAAGTCTGCAGAACCTCACTGTCATGAAGCGCCAACCCTCCTTTAGCAAGGCATAACACGCACCCCGCACTCTGCTGTTCTGACCTCCCTGGCCTTTCAGGTATAGACTGTGGTCCAAACACACAGAAACACTTATAACTCCCTCACGGACCCCGTCTCCGTGCCTCCGAGTCCTTGTTGTGCTGCGTCCTTTGTCGGGAGGACCCTCTGCCTTCCTGTCACGTGTCTCTCAGGTCTCATTCAGCCTGCGTTAGCCCCCCGGGAAGCCTTGCTCACCACCTTCGGAGTCAGTAAATCTCCGGCTGTTTCTCTACTTGCCCTGATGTGTGTGCACACGCACTGTCTTTACCGCACTTATTGTATTGTGCGCGCCGTTATCGGCAGGCCTGTCCCCCCACTTCACGGGCACAGCCCTGGGTGAGAACCCTGGGTTTTCTTCATTCAGCCCCAGACCCAGCACGAATTGGAGCCCAGTAAGTGTTGGCGGAAAGGATGAGTGAAAAGACTGCGTGTTTACCCAGTGGCTGGGCTGGTGTTTACCTGCGTCGTAGCCATAGCTCGGTCTCCTGTTTTGTCTTTTATTCCAAGAAGCGTTGACGTCCTTCTGTGTAACACAAGCAACGAAACAAACAGATTCCCTCAGAGGGTTCCCCGGGATCAGAGCTTCAGCTCCATCTACACACTGCCCTGCAGAAATCTAAGATTTGGAGGACATCCCTTACATGTCAGTTTTTAAGATGCCTGTCCATGGTGTGCTGTTTCGATCACATCTGTCACTTACAGAATTTGAAGCAGCACAGTTGCATCATAGGAGGGCCACAAGAGCACTCACCCACTTGGGGACCTGTTCAGCCACTGGGACTCAGAATGTGTTTGTACTCACATCTAAGATTTATGACAAAAAGACCCCCTGTAGGACCAGTCGGGGGAAGGCATGGGCGGGTGTGGGGAACTCCACGCACAGTGGCCCTCGTGCTCGCTCTCCTGCTGGAGGACCTGGCTTGAACCTGTTCTCTTCTCCGGCAACGAAAAACGCCGAACGGAGTCAGTGTTCCGGGGGGTCCATGAGAAATTCAGCGCTCAAGGCTCCTATTGAAGACCCCCTGCCTTCGTGCAGAGCAAATTCCCACTTCCCCGAAGGCAGTCAGGTGCTCAGCAAAAATGCCATTCTTTCCAGAGGCGAGACCTTCCCAGTGCCGCCCTCGCCAGGAGGAAACACTGTGTAGGGCAGGTATGCTAGAAAGCCCGTTCCCCAGCACCCGCCCGAGCTCCCCTCTGCATGGTCCCTTTGGGAACGACATGCTTTTAACCAAGGATGGTCTTAAAATGGTACCTCATTCATTACGTTTGTACGTGCGGCAAAAGAAATGTTGTATTCGTCAACTTTTGTAGGCCCCAAATAAGACTGTGAGGATTTGTGAACATTTCTTGTGGGTGAATTCTGAGCGGAAAGAAGAGTGCCTGGAGCTGAGGTGTACGCGGCACCTAGGAAGAAAAAGCGATGCTTTTACACAGAGCAGGTCAGACTGCTGGAACAGGGGCGAGAGTACCGTGTTAATCCTCACCTGAGGGTATTTTCCCGCTGGTTTTTAGAGAGAGTGGAAGGCAAGAGCCAGAGCGAGAGCAACATCCATGTGAGAGAGGCATATCCATTGGTGACCCCCCACATTTGCCATCCCCACCGAGGTATGTGCCCTTGACCGGAATTGAACCCCTGCTGGCCAACACTCTATCCACTAATCCAGTGGTCAGCAATCTGCGGCTCGTCAGCCACATGCGGCTCTTTGGCTCCTTGAGTGTGGCTCTTCCACAAAATACCACGTGCGGGCGCGCACGTACAGTGCGATTGAAACTTCGTGGCCCATGCGCAGAAGTCGGTATTTTGTGGAAGGGCCACACTCAAGGGGCCAAAGAGCCGCACGTGGCTCGAGAGCCGCAGTTTGCCAACCACTAGGCCTGGGTGAATATTAATGAGTAGAATTGATCCAGTGTTCTCCCTGCTGAGCTATCACAGTCACTGGATTACCATATGGGGGATTTGTCTGAGTTAAGGAAGTATCTAAAATGATAGCATGGAAAATAAAATAAAATAAAATAGAATACAATGAAATGATAGCATGGCCTTATTTGATGACCACTGACTACAGATTTCCAGTGGTTCACCATCGGTTCCAAGGAAAAGTCTCAAATGCTTAACTTCTGTTCCTAATTTATTTAATATTATGACCAGCTTAATCCCTATAACTAACCACAGACCATGGCCTGGAACACTTTTCACTTCATTCAGTCTGCAATGAAAAACTTCTAACAACTTGAATGACCAAAGCTGTTGGGTTTTTGTTGTTGTTGTTCGTGTGTTTTTTCAAAAATACATTTTCATTGATTTCAGAGAGGAAGGGAGAGGGAGAGAGAGATAGAAACATCCATGATGAGAGAGAATCATGGATCAGCTGTCTCCTGCATGCCCCACACTGGGCATGTGCCCTGACTCGGAATCAAACCATGACCTCCTGGTTCATAGGTTGACACTCAACCACTGAGCCACGCCAGCTGGGCCCAAGGCTGCTTTCTTAGGAAGAACGCTTTCACAGCAAATGCATGGTGCATGAAGAGGAGGAGGAAGAGTGGGAGGAAGGGGACTAACATTGGGCAGGAGCTGTAAGAATGGAGCAGAGGAGAGGGCCAGGGAAATAAAGAGGGCAGATTGGACAGAAAGAGACAACTTTGGGATGCAAACTACAAGAAAGAGGAAGAGTCCAAGATAACTCGGTTTTGTTCCTGGGTGAAACTGGGTCAGGAAGACGATGCATTTGACTGTATTGAATTTGAGGTCATCATTGGCCACTGGATGGAGATGTGTGATATTTTCTGCTTGTATATTTAGATATGTCTAAGGAAGGAACTTTTTAGGGACTTCCAGAAATCTAACAAGACACATAAAAACTTATTATTATTATTTTTTTTGCCCTAGCTGGTTTGGCTCAGTGGAGAGAGCATCGGCCTCTGGACTGAAGGGTCCCAGCTTCGATTCTGGTCAAGGGCACATGCCCAGTAGGGGGCGTGCAGGAGGCAGCTAATCAATGAATCTCTCTCATCATTGATGTTTCTATCTCTCTCTCTCTACCTTCCCTTCCTCTCTGAAATCAATAAAAATATAATAAAAAATAAAATTAAAAAAAGAGGTTAAACCGCTTTCTCATTTTTACTTTTTAAGCCATCCTTGAATGTCATATCCTCAAGCCTCGTATCAGTTTTTGGTTTGAAAGCTCCCAGTTCATGAACTGTTCTTATATGCACAATAAACTCCTACTAAATACAATTTTACTGACCTTGTTTTGATTTTTGCTGTTTCTGGATCTGACAATGTCAAGACAAAATCCCTCATGGCCTCTAATGTGCGGAGAAGGCAAGACCAAGGAGAGGAAAGAGAGGCAGGGATGAAAGTGAATATGAGAGGAATGAAGACAAACGGTCCCTCCTTCCCTCTTGTTCGGGTAAGGTTGGCTAAAATGGGACCCCTGAGTCTGCAGGCCGACGCTCTATCCACTGAGCCAAACCGGTTAGGGCCTAATTATTTCTTTAATGTACATTCCACTCCGATTTCATGGGAAATCGGAGGTGCTGTCTGGCAGGGGTTGCTGGCACTGCTTCCTGGGGACACATTACTGTAACCTGCTGAGCCATAAAGTGTCAGTAACTTACTCTGCCTGTCACGACACACAGCCATACCGGGACCCTCATTTCCACACTTGGCCAATTTCAAAAGCCACACTCACAAAGCAATCACCCAGGTACTTGGGCTAATTATAACATCTATAATCATCAACAATCTTACACCATGCTTTATTTTCTAAGATAACCACCATTTTTATAATCAGGTGAAACAAATAGCTTGAAAAACTATGATGAAACCATGATCATATTCTTAATAAACAACAAGACAGTTATATATTTTTTTCATTTTCTTACCTTTGCCATTGGTAGTACTTGATTTTCTAGTTATCAATCCATCTTTCTATGTGGTACAACATTAAAGAGAAAAAAACATTTATTGGTGACTATACTGGAAAAGATTTTGCCTTCTATGAACCAAATACAGATTTGTTTTCACCCCTTTATCTCCTAATTCTCTCATGAAAATTGTTTCAGGAACAATAGGTCTTACCAACTTTCTCGGACACCTTTCTGGGGAATCTCAAATCTAACTATTTTGAAATTGAGTTCGGCATATAGCAATGTACAAATTTGTTCCTCTTCTAATATCCCATGTTTTGTTTAAAGCATGGAGTCCATTCAATGGTCGGTTCTAAAAGTTTAGAGTCACTCAGTTTATTTCAGGGAAAGATAATCCAATCTGCTCTAACCTAATCTAATGCTTAATGAACACATTGCTTAGAATCAAAATAAAATTCATCATCCCAAAATCTCATTTTATTGTAAAAACATTTTACTGTGTCTCTCTGGCCTGCTAGACAAGGAGTTCTCAAGTGCTTGTCTCGCTTATCTTTGTATCCTGTGTGACCCCATTCTCTCATTCTCCCTTCCCTCTGGCTTAGCACAGAGCTTTGCCAACAGTAGATGCTCAGTAAATATTAGCTATGATTATAATTGCTAAATGTTTGATTAGGTTAGTTTCTCCTAAATTATAGAATGAGTTTACACAAAGGTAACTCAGCAGTGTCAAGGAAAAGGGTCAGATCTCAAGAACAGACCCTAATATTCCTAAATAGTCAGTGCCCTGCTAGTAGTGAAAGAGATAGTTCATAGAGGTGAAAGTTCGCTAGGTAAATTAATGTTCACCATACAGAAGTTCGGGACATCATTTCATACCTTTTGTTCAGTACTGTTATCGCGAAACATAGCTGGATTTGATGAGTTTCTGGTAACATTCTTGGATGTACTTGGAGATTGAAGATCACCTATTGTCTGTTCTAAACATAAATGAAAGAAAAAAAAAACACTAGGTTGTTCTTTTTTTTAAAAAACACACACACAACACAACAAAACCCAACAACTTATTGAAGTATGACTGAAGTATAAAAAACTGTACTTATTTAAATTAAATGATTTTATCAATTTTAAAATGTCTATAGCTGTGAAACCATCACTGAAATCAAAATAACACTCCCAATACCCTCAAAAGATTTCACCCACATTTGTAGCCCATCCATCTTGCTCTTACCATCCCTGAACACTACTGCTCTGTGCCTCTCACACAATGTTATTTCACTTTTCTAGAATTTTACATGAATGGAATCCTAGAGGATGTACTCTTATTTTTTGCCTGGCTTCTTTCACTTAACACAATGTCACATATATTAAAATTTGTTCCTTTTTCTGTGTGTGTGTGTGTGTATGTGTGTGTGTAACTTTTAAGAAATGCCAAAGTGTTTTCCAAAGTGGTTTTACCATTTTACATACCATGTACCCGTGCAGCAGCATTTTCCCTCTCATTGATGTTCCTCTTTCTCTCCCCCTCTCTCTTCCTCTCCGAAATCAATAAAAATATATTTTTTTAAAAAAAGAATGGCTCCCATGCCACACTTCTTAGAGCAGAGACTAGATAGATCAACCCCCACCCCGTGCCCGATAGGTACCACTGCACTTTCAGAATTCATCTTTTCGTGGAAAATGCCTCACAACTAGACTTAAATTTATAGGTCCAATCCCCCGACAGTTGTCCCAGCTAGACTGGCAGCCTGGTGAGGCTGAAAACAAGATTTTCCATCTAGCATCTTTTTGTTCAATACCACTGAGTTTGTTTTTATAAATATCAGTAAGACCAGCCTGGGCTGCATTGAACCCCTGAGTTTGAGAAGGTCACTGTGGGTGAGATAATTGCTTTAGACATTGAGAATTTAGGTTCAGGGTCTACATTTTAGTAGATGTGGGGCCGGTGGTGTCATCATTGTGTGTGTTGTAAGACCCCTTTGGTGTTTTATACAAAAGTCTTTTGAATTTAAAAGTGGGATCTGCCCTAGCTGGGTTGGCTCAGTGGATAGAGCGTCTACCTGTGGACTGAAGGGTCCCAGGTTCGATTCAGGTCAAGGGCACATGCCAGGGTTGCGGGCTCAATCCCCAGGAGGGAGTGTGCAGGAGGCAGCCCATCAATGATTCTCTCTCATTGTTGATGTTTCTCTCTCTCTCTCTCTCCCTCTTCCTTCCTCTCTGAAATCAATTAAAAATAATTTTAAAAAAATAAAAGTGGGATCCATGGAGCTTCAAGATGTATGACCTCGACCTCAGTGGTTCTGAGTGACACTAGGCTGCCCCCAAGGCAGCCCTGTCTCTTGCCAGGTTTCTGAATCCTGATGAGACTCAGGGAGGAAAGAGTTTGGATTTTATTCTTTAGATGCTAACTGATAAGCACACAGGGACTTAGAACTGTCACATGTTACTTTCCCCTGGAAATTTAATTGTGGGAGGAGATCAATGTTCTATTTTGAACAGTCTTGTACTTTTGATTGTGTAACATTTGGAGCAGT